CGTATAGACGTTGTTAAACGGCGATTCCTTTCCTACTTATTTTTGGGACATTTATAACACCTTACCCATGTAGGGAAATATTCTTTCATTTGGTTATTTGAGGAGTGTTCGTTGCTGTATAAGTTTTCTCATTGCTGAGTAATTCCTCAGATACCTGACAAGAAGTGACTTAGGGAGGAAGGGATTAATGTGGCTTGCAGTTTGAGGGTACAGCCCATCATAGCAGAGAAAGTATCATAGAGTGTGAGGTGATCATACTGCATCATCCGCCATCAGGAAGCTGCAAGAGATGAATGTTTCCCCCTTTTTTATTCAGCATGAAACCCCAGACCATGGTGATGCTGCCTGCATTTAGAGGGTCTCTTCCTTGCCCAGTTTCTCAATCCAGTCCAGTGGACAGTGGTTAGTGACCATAGAGTTGGGTTACCTGGTGTTACCAGAGCACACAGGTCTTCCTTTGGTAAGCAGTCTGGTGTTGGGGGATCTCCTTGTCCTACCGTCCTTTTTGAACACATTCAGCCATTATCTACATTTTTTTTTAAAAAATGTATGTTCTCACTGTCAGTAATGATTTTTGCTTCACACTGCATTAACGTGGCTGATTATTAAAGGGGTATACAACGCTGTTGTTAGAAGGCTTTCCCTTGGGTTTGATCAAGTTACCACATTTTCCGTTTATTTCGGTTAATTCTGCCATGTTTCCTAGATCAGTGACATGCTGTAGACAGAAAGCATGTTTTCCTCTTTGTTTCCCAGTGTCTAGTCTCTGGTTCCTGTCCATGACCCATCAGCAGTCTCAGCCGTCTTCAGCTCTGCGTTAAGAAGCAATCACTTCTTTTTTTTCAAGCACAATCATCTTTTTCTTTTGACTACTGTTATTCAGAAGATCTTTTTCCCAGCGCCAAACTTTATTCCATGGATTTTTTTTTCTGTGTTCTTTAAACACAGCACTCGGAGCACCCCAACCTTGAATTAAGAAGGCTAAATCTTGAAGGTTGAGAATGCCACCGCTGTATCCTTAGGCTGGGTAGCTAGACGCACTCATGCAGTTGGTGCCCTGTGGTGTATCAGCTTCGGCAAAAGCTAGACACGAGTACCCGCGTGGACAGTGAGCATCTGCAGTGTGTGTGGCTTGGCACAGTCCTAAATGAAAAGGCAAAAATGATTTGGTGCTTATGGAATCTCATCATGGTGACCGCAGTCCTGCTGAGCTTGTTCCTCACAACTTCATGGCATCAGCTCCCAACCGAGGGCAAGGTCCTTCCTCCATGCTGGGACTTTTGGTTGGCCCAATCTTGGCTGTGCCTGTGCTTGTGCTGCTGGGATCTAGAGATGGAGAGCCGGTTTGCTGCTAAATACAACATAGTTTGTAGGAGAAAATCCTATAACAAGTATCTGCACCCCCAAAGCCAAAGGCACCTTGTTGAGAAGCCCTGAGAGATCTGTCCCTGATCCCCAGGTTAGAGACGGAGAGTTAGGAGGAGAGATAACAGAGTGTGCTGTGGGGTCCCTGGGGCAGCTGTGACTTTGAAGACAGTCACTTCTTGAAACCAGCACTCCCTGCCACTGTCACTCTATGACGGGAAGGTATAGAGTTGGTATACCCACGAAACACTCTTAAGAGTTTCCTGTAGGAGCTTCTAATGGTACAAGCACAGCCTTTGCACCTAAGCTGTTTTATTCAAGCCTTATGCTTAGGACAAATGGTAAGGTTAGAGATGGAGGAGAAAGCTGACTTTTATGGGGAATAGCATTCCTAAAGAAGTCAAGTTTAATTTCTAGAGGGAGGGTATGTGGAAAAGAAATACATCGAAAGCTCTGAGCTTAGGAGTGGGTTCGATGTTGAGGAGCAGAAATACTTTTGGAGGCACAGGGTAAAGAAGCATAATTAAATTAATATCTCTCATGAGCTCTGTGAATTTTGTCGTGTGATGTGGGCAGAATCTTCATACACACATACATATGTACGGACATATCAGTGCTCAGCTCAGTAGAGGCTTTGAAAGATCAGGAGTCTACATGCTGTATATGGTGAGGGAAAGGAGCTGAAGAAAATTGATGTGCATGGTGTCTAACAGAAGAGGCCCTTAAGTTAGACTGGCTGTGAATCTAAGCTCTCATACACCAATATCCTTGGGCAGTTTATTAATCAGCCCAAGTCCTCATATGTAAAGTGAGTATTATAGTAATAGTCTGAATTTGGTTGTCTGTCCATGAAAGGGGTGTGTGTGTGTGTGTGTGTGTGTGTGTGTGTGTTTGTGTGTCTGTGTGTGTTGGCTGTCATATTTGTCATTGTCAGTTTACTTCGTATCTCTTTCCCTGATCTGGTTCTATGCATTGGCTTCACCTCTTGAAAATGATGTATAAGATTTTGTGTGTGTGTATGTGCTTTGCTGCCAGAATTGTGGGTACAATCCATTCATTCTTTTTGTTCATCAGCATAATCTGACTACCTGCTCCTTTGTAGGTCCTAAGTGTGGGGCTGCAGAGGTATCCAGAAACACAAGGCTTGCTTTATTGGGTCAGCTCTGTGCCCTGTGGGGCTGGCCAGTGCTAGCCTCCACCTAAAGGCATGTGACATGTTAGAAGATACGTCTCTCCAGCATAGCTGTGTAAGAGGCAGCCTGGTTTGCACAGATTTAGATTTACAAAATTTGTGTAAATTTACAAAATTTACACAAATTTACAAAATTTTGGGCTTCAGGGGCTCATGAGTTGTCTTACCCTCCATTCTTCCCTTAATGGTATCATTGCAGTCTATGACAGGGTCACTGTGAACTAACTATTGGGGACAAGAGACACAAAAGTCCCTAAGTGTGTGATAGATGATCAGTATTAGCTATAATTGTAAACTCTCTACAGGGTGCTAGTTCCTCTTGTGTCTGTGGGACCTGTAGACAGTTTTAATCCACACCGTGTGGGGAGAATGTATTGTTTCCTACTGGGGATGCCTGCCACTATCAGATAGAACTTTATGCGACCTCTGGGGGTCACGTGCAACCTGCTGCTGCCCTCAGTCTGCTGCTGACCAGTTCTGTGACTCTCTTTTCCTTAGGTGGTGGACTTTTCTGTGTAATATGGAACAGTGGTTCCACTCCCACCGCTGTTGTGAGGATTAAAGGAAGTGAACTGTATAAACGAGCCTAGAACATATTGGGCTCTCCATAAATGGTAGCTTCTGTTTATCCTGTTAGTTGAAATAGTGACTTCGGAGCCTTGGGGATAAGTGACTGCTTGTCTACACTCTGTTTAATTCTACATTTTTCAGGGTTCATTATTCTTCCTTAATTCGTTTATAGTCATGCCATTATAAAAAGCTTTATTTCTATGTTTGCTAAATAATGTGAGAATGGTTTTATAAAGCTTCAGGCTTAGAATGCATTGGGTCCTGGGTACTGTTTCTTGGTTAGTGATATCTATGTTTCATAAACATTGCTATAATGACCAAGTAATGTATTGCCCATTAGATGTACATTAATGTAACCGTTTATCCTTTGATGTACAATTAAGTTATTTGTTTAAAATACTTTACAGTCATAGCATTTCAGTGAGTGAATATATTCACCATTCATGTACACAACTTTTTGAGATTTTTTATTTTTTATTTTTTTGTTATTGAAAACTTTGCTTCTTCGGATGAGTTCCCAGGAATGTTATTTGGTCAAAGGGTGTAAACATGCCTTTTGAATGCATATTGCCAGACTGGTTTCCCAGAGGGATCTGCTGTTTTTTTTTTTTTTTTTTTTTTTTTTTTTCGTCTTTCTGGTTTTATAAACTTCAGTTTGCTCTCTTACCCAGTAAATGCTTACGATGTTTAGCCCTGACCATGTTGCAGGCTTAGTGAGAATATGGTGACAGAGGGGAGAAGTGCTTATGTAAACACAGTTCTGCTGTGCCAAGTGCTGATAAAGGTATCACGCATCTGGGCACTCAGATGCACCGGCCTTGTTGGTACAAAAGCTATTTTCAGTGTTCAAGGAATCCAGGCTGTGTTCTCTGGTAGAAAGTCATGACCCTGCACCCACACCCATCCAGTTTACTGAGGTGTAATTAGCAAATAAAAGTGTCATGATCCATGTCTGTCAGCCTCACCCAAAGGAGTAGCGAATATGGCATCTTCTGTGAAGAGCAAGAGAGAGGGCCGAGTGTCATTTGGTATTATTTACAGGCATCTTTAGTAAGATTAGTTCTTGTTCTTAGGGACCCATTTTCATCACGGTTCTTCCGGAGAACTGTGGCTCTTCTGTGGCTCGTGCCTTTTTCTGTCGTGATGTGCTGTTGGTGTAAACTGCTCTTTATAGTTAGTGTTGGCAGGGCTTTGTTATGGAAAGTTGAAGGAACATATGAAAGCATAAAAACGGACTTTCAGTTCCTTTCCAAAGATTCAAAGATGGGCTTGGGGTGAGGCTATACCAAAGTTCTTAGGAAATTGAGAGTATGTATTTAAACTAGGAAAAACAAACGAGGTAAAAAACAAACAAGCAAACAAAAAACTAACCCCAAATGCCCCCAACACTTTTAAGTACCAGCCATCCTGAGAGGGCTTATCTGATCTCTTCATAGAAGGGAATATGACAAACCATAGTTTACAAGAATGTATTCTACAGTGAAAAGTGCTCAGTGAAATGCTGAGGGCACTGTTCAGAAGCCAGTGATTAAAACAGATCATCTCCAGGGCTGGGGGAGATGTGATCAGGTTTCTGGGTGTGTGGGCACAGGAAGGGCTTCCTAGCTCAGGATGAAAGTGTATTGGTTTAGAGTTGAAGACTGGGTAGAAGAGAGCCTGAAGAAGCAGGCAGGAATTTTTTTTTTTCCTGCCTTAAGATGGGTATGGGACGGGAGGTTACAGGGTATCACACAATTCAATGTGACTAAAGCTCAGAGATGGAGGGATAGAAGGCAAGAAGTCAGTCAATTGCTGGATTTCTTAGAATCCAATTAACAGTTGGCTACCATGTTACCTTTTAAAATTTATGCTATTGTGTTTTGTTTTTGTTCAGTGTCAGCTGTTACTGGAAGTGGCCTGGCCTCTCTTTATCTTCCTGATTCTGATCTCTGTCCGCCTGAGCTACCCACCCTACGAACAACATGAGTGTGAGTATCTGGGGATCATGCCTGAGACTCAGTGCTGGCCGGTGAGATCTAGGCAGTGAATGTGCCCGCAAGTGAACCTTTCCAAAGATGCTGTCTTCAGGAGAACACCACGAATGGCTTGGGACAGAAAATCTGGGCTTCACATTTTCTTGAGAGGGCATAAACTCTGGATATGTCTGTAGTCTCAGTAAATGATGATGACAGTTATGATAATAATAGCAAACATATATTTCACACATTTTAAGATCATGACAGTAAAAGAACCTTCGTAAGAGTCAGAAAGTGATGACTAAATACCACTGTACGGTAATGTTTCAGATACCAGTATCCGGTTCCTGGTGGTCCTCTTGTTTTCATTGTCTTTTAATCACATGGCTGAAAACCATGAAACATGTATTGGAGCACATACTTTCTAAAGATGTTAGATTTTAAAGAACTATGCATATGTGTCTGTGTGTGGGTGTGTGCACATGGATGCAGGTGTCTGAAGGGGCCAGAGGTGGCAGAGCCCCTGGAGCTGGACTTAGAGGGAGTCGTGTGCCATCTTATATGAGTTCTCGGAACTCAACTCAGGTTCTTTGCAAGAGCACTTTGTGGGCTTAACCACTGAGCCACCTTTCCATCTCCCAGAGCATGTACAACCTTTGTGTATGACGTCTTAGTTTGACTAACATTATTAAATTTCATTTGGATCTCGATAGCCTTGTGTAATGGACTTTGTTATCATTTGCTTTAATTTCTTGGTACATAAATTAGAGCTCACACACCTATAACGACTTGCCCCAAGTTACATATCTAGCAGAAGCTGAATAGAATCCAGGTCACCTTGCTCTCACTCATGTTTTTGGAACATAGCCCTGACAGTGAGCATCGAGATACAGTAATGACCGGAAGCGTCCAGTTTTGTGGGTTTGGCTCCTGGCTTCAGCATTCTCTAGGTGTGTCACCGCGAGCGAATGATGTTAGCTTCTTGATAAAGGAGAACAGCAACACCCAACTTGCACTGTTGTTGCCAGAGGTATCCTTTTACCGTCTGGCTGGGCTCTGTGGATGGACTGATGGAGCACTTTAGAAAGGCTCAAATCTGAAGACTTTGCATCCGTGTAGGAGTTTTAGCTGGGGCCAAAGGCTTTCTGTCCCACACACTTTTCTTACCATAGACCAGCTGCAAAAGCCTGCAGGCTTATTAGATTCCAAGATAGCACCTCTGGCCACAGTTACCTTTTGATTGTGTTTCTTGGTCTCCTTCCCATCTCTTACATAGTCCGTAGTAGCAGATACTTGCATACTAGTTTGCCAGTAGACATCCTATATATTCTGGTTACACCCAAATGCCTCAAATATGTCCTCTGGACATGACTTTCTGATTTCATCAGTTAGAATCGCAAAACTGAAAGCTAAGGTGAAGCTTACAGATCTGTCTTTACTCAGGGAACAAAGGACTAGTGTGAAATTTTTCCCTGTAAATCTTTGTAGTTCAGGTCAGAGTCATCAGGATCCTAATGAGTTTTCTGGCTCTGTAGTGTCCATATTATTTGACTAGCATCCCGAACACCCAGTGTCTAACCCTCATATGTTTTTTATTTGCCCATAGGATGGGGTTCAGTGTACAAGAAAGGGTCTTTCTTTGCTTGTCCAGTGGAGAGACAGGTTGAAATGTCTCCTCCATCTCTTTGACCTACCCTCCCTTGTCCTTAGGGCCAGTATCTCTGCAGTTTGGAAGAGTAAAATCCTGTGGTCCATGGAGTATTTGGTTAGGTTACATAAATCTCCACTGAATGAGGAGCAGCAGCTCATTAGGCAAGGGGCCTTGTTTGGTTTTCCTTTAACTGGGAGATAAACTCCTTTTATTTAACTCCTTTAACAGGGAGATAAAGAGATTAGCTGAGTAAATGTTCAGCAGGCCAGAGTCCCTGCAGAGCCTGGCCATGGGGATCAGGTCCTGTCACATCCTTGTGGGGATCAGGTCCTGTCACACCCTTCTATGTTGCCTCTGGTGGGAATGTGGATAGGAATTTAAAAAGACTGAACACTTCCCAGTACTGATGTGTAAAGTGAGGCACATCTTGGCCATTGGTTTAGTTTTGGGGAGTCTCCATTAGCATACTTACTTGAAAACAGAGGATGGAGAGAAAGTGTCTTTGGAGGATGGTGGGAGCTGTGAGATGGATAGTAGCAAAGGACGCCCCAGAAATTCTTACTGGACCGCTCATGAATGTACCTTGTGCTGGCCACTCTGTAAAAGTGCTCTGCATTCTAAGCCAGGCTGAGCTGCTGAGTGAAACCGCTCTCATAAAAACAAAAATGAAACTACAAGATGCTGTGCTGATAAGGGCTCAGGTAACACCACTTGCATGACCATCAGCATTTTACAGGTGAGAGAATAAGGCTTTAGAGATTGACTTAGCTGTGCCTGGCACATGGCAGGAACAGAGTATAAACCTCAATTGGTTTGACTCCAAAGTTTATGATGATACAAGCAAGTCACTGCCTGGAGCCATAGTTCTTAATGCTTGCCAGGTTTTCAGATAACAGAGTATGATGAGAGCTGGAGCCAAGACCTTTAGGTCCCAACATGAACAAGTCCTTGGATAAGGAGGACCCCTGAGCACGCTGATGGGGATTCTCATAAACAATACTTGTAGATTCTTGCCGCAAACCTACCTGTGTTTTTGAAGGCTCGGACCTCACCCAGACATGCCAAGTCATTGTTTGTAAGAAACTACTAAATGTAGGAAAAAGAGGATGATGAGTGGCCTGGGAGATGGGACCTCGTTTTATCGATGAGTGACAAATCATTAAGAAAACGGATACCATTTTGAGGACAACTTTGATCTCAAGTGAGCATGCTTTTGCAGTGCTCTTGGTGAACTTTTGGGCTGTCAGAGGAGGTGAAACTGACAGATGTTTGCCAAATGAAGGTGGGTACAAAGGCAGTCTGAGAAGAATGAGGCGATGGTGAAGGCTGCAGCTTGAAGGATGAGGCAGGGGTTGGAATCCTGGTAATGAGCCATGTGCAGCTCTGAGGTCTTCATCAGCTGCGGTGTGAGGGAACTGCCCTGGGTCATTGCCAAGGTCCTTCTGTGTTTCTGAGAGATGAGGCTTGTGGTTGGGATTGAGCATGGTGGCCAAGCACTCGGTGCTTGCCAAGTACTTCGTGTCTGTGATCTGATGTGCCACTTTTACCACTTTCCCAAGGTTGGTGTCATGAGTCCCAATCTACAGATGATGCCAAACAGAACTGGTGTCACCATTATTTATGGCAGATTCTTAACTTAGGGGCCAGTCACTTCAGAGGAAACAGGCCTTCTGGGATGTGGTGAATGAGACAGACAGGTGTGAGAAGGGCTCTGTTAAAATCATTTCAGAGCTCTAATCTTTTCTCTGTGTTTTCTCGATTTCAACAGGCCACTTTCCAAATAAAGCCATGCCTTCCGCAGGAACCCTTCCCTGGGTACAGGGGATTATCTGTAATGCCAATAACCCTTGCTTCCGTTATCCAACTCCCGGTGAGGCTCCTGGCGTTGTTGGCAACTTTAACAAGTCGATGTAAGTACCAGATCAGGTTCTCTTCCCCAAACGTGTCAGTTAATACTTACCCTTCTCTTCTTGGAGAGCTTTGCATGAGAAGTCTGCAGAGTGAACGAAGGGGGAATCGCCACTAGGATTTAAGACTGTGGGATTGAAGAACCATTGTGGTTATGTGGCCAGAAGCTCTGTACTCAAAAGAGTTGATGCCTCTGGGAGACACAGCAAGCTCACTCCATCTGGACTACTCACTCTGAGCATTTACTGTATATACTTCTGAAATGGCTGGGCCTAGGAGCTGAAGGTCACTGCACTGGAAGGGTCTGGGTTCTCCAGAAGCTTAGAGCCCCAGCCAGGAGTGTTCTGTCCTCTGCTGTCAGGTCGCTGCTCTGACCCCTGGGATGACTGCAGTGTCATTGCTGATTACAGGTCTTTCTCTCCCTCACCGGTAGCTGCCCAAGAGCATGATGCTGCTTTCTTAGTGTCTGTGTTCCTGGCTCCTGGCTCAAATGCTGGGATGCTGGGTGTAATGAGCATCTGCCAGATGAGATGCTGAAGGCCCCTCAGATGTGCAGAGTCACAGAGTTAGAGCAGGCCAGGGGCTGTAGGATGTGCTGCAGAGAATGTGCCACGGTTGAGACAGGCAGGGCCACATTATAATGCTCATGCATAGTTTTAGGAGCATTTGTGGGCACTTTCAAACATAGCAATCATATTACAAGGGCAAATGCATTACTCTGTATGCATTCTTGTTATCTTTGTTTTTAATCATAGTTTTAAAAAATGAAAACATTTTCATGTGTCACTAAGCAGATCTTGGGCTGTGGGAACTGGGCTTATTATGGGCAACAGTTAGCCTTCCGTGTGTGTGTGTGTGTGTGTGTGTGTGTGTGTGTGTGTGCATGTGCGCGCTGACTTTGGATGGCGAATGGGGCCTAGATACATGGGCAGACACTTGAGGCTGGAATGATGGCTAGGGAGTATGGGAAACGAGGCTGGGGAGGGGCAGCTGGCCTAACCAGACCTTGTCTGCTTTTTTTGTTCCTTGTATAGTGTGTCTCGCCTGTTCTCGGATGCCCGGAGGCTCCTTTTGTACAGCCAAAAAGACACCAGCATAAAGGACATGCACAAGGTCCTGAGAACGTTACGACAGATCAAACATTCCAACTCCAGTAAGCAAAACCCTTCCACTCATGCATCTCGAAGTGGCCATTTCCCTGCCATGTGGCCTGGGGCTTGTTCCCAGGCTTGCCCTTGAGTGCGTTGCTTCCTCAGTTGCCACATGGCCGGCCATCTCCGAATTAAGCAGTGGAAACAAAACTAGAGAGGCTGGTTGCCACAGACAGTGACTCTGGAGTATAGGTCCCAGACAGGAGCAGCACAGGCTTTCCATGAAGGCCAGCTGGAGCACAAATTGCTGCCAAGGGCATTTTTGAGCTGCACATAGGATTTCCATGGATAGACAGATTTATAGATGATGTATTTCTGTGTGTGTGAGAGCAGTTAGAGTTCTAACTTGATATGGGTAAGTAAAAGTTAGCCATTGATTTCTGAAAGGAAACTCATTCTTCTCCCTTGGAACTAGCCATGTGGATTAGTCTCACAAGCATTTGAATTCTGATCTTGAAACAGATTTGCTAAGTACCAGGCAGTTAGTCCCTGGCATGCCACTGCAGAGGCGTCTGGGGAACATACAGGTTGCTGACCAAGGCATTGGCTGCAGAAGTTGTGGGAATCTCTTGGGCAGTAGCCTGTCAAGGGGGCAGGGCAGTGTTTGATGTCCGTGGGTGAGGTAGGAATGATGTGCGCAGTGATGATTGAGAAGCGATCAGTACCCCCTCAGAAAGTTGGTCTTCCCCCTCTCTCCCATGTTCTAAACTATGCCAGAGATGAAGTACTTTTGGTATGGGCCAACAGCGGCCACAGCTCTAGGAAAGTCCTTTTTTTTTCCAAGTTTGATGTTTGAGGAGGGGATGGTCTGGTCTCTCCTTTGTTGAAAGGCCACTCTCCCAGTTTGTGATCCATTTGGCATGAGAAGAAATGGTGTGAAGTGGATTGCATGGGAGCTTGTTTCTTTTGGGTGGGAGAAGAGGCATTGTGGGGGCAGGAGAGCTCAGAACACACACACACACACACACACACGAGTTTTTTAAAAGAGGCATTGCAGTTGGGGCCTCTATGACTCCATGACAGAGCGGGCCAGTGCTGATTGGGGTGGCACAGAGGAGGTGGGGCTTCAGTATAGAGTCTAGAGTGGCATGGGCATGCCTGGGTAACCTGTGAGGAGCTCGCATCCGACTGTACCTTGCTGTGCAGCCAGTTCATCCGGGTGCTGTTTCCTTGCTTTCGAGGCGCTGGTCAAGGCCATGCTTTTCTCTTAGGGAGGGCCCATGTTGGGTTGCTGTGCAGCGGAACTGGGTTATTTCTTTTACCACCAGGAAACAGCATAGGACAGACAACAGGCACTGGGATGCATCATTACATGATTTTTGTGAATAAGTTACCTGGTCCCTTGGGGGTTATCCCTTCTTATGGAAAATGAGCACAGTGAGGATCTATCCAGGATTAAAACAATATTTGACACTTAAGCACCATTTAGTGAATATAAGCCATGATTATTTTCCTAAAAAATATTTTTAGAGTTGTCTATTTCATTTTATGTGTATGTGTATGTTGCCTGCATTTTTGTATGTGCGCTGTATGTGTTCCTGGTGTGCCTTAGGCCAGAAGAGGGCATCAGAATCCTTGAAACTGGAGTTACAGGCTGTGGTGAGCTGCCATGTGGGTGCTGGGAACAGGACCTGCATGCTCTCCGAGAGCATCCAGTGCTGTTAATAGAGTAGCTATGATTATTTTCCGGGCATCTCAGACAAAACATTTAACGTTCCTGCGACTTAATTTCTTGAGTTAATTATAAGAATATATTATCATGTATGGTATAATCAGATTCCTCTATAGCATTAATATAATAACTAACATGCAGAGTCTGACACAAGGTCTGGCACACAGTAGATGGTCTATAAGCTGAAGGAGTGCTGTCCTCATGACACAGTTGCATTTCTGACCATCTGACATTGTTCTTCTGCCTCTGAATTTGTGGGGCTGGCAAAATGGGTTGGTGGAATTTCCAGTTCTTAGAGAAGGCTGCCTTGGAAAGTAGGGTGATTTTCTCTCTTGAGCAACTGGAGTTGTGAGGTGGGGTGGAGGAGAGAAACTAGACGTGCATGCACAGCTCTGCAGAAGGAAGCCATCTTCCAGTTTCCAGTGCCCCCTCTGCCCTGCAGCTAGTTTTGTTCTGTTTCAATTTGTTTTCCTGTGCTGGGGAGCGAACTCAGAAACTTGTACAAGCTAAGCAAGTACTCAGCCACTGGGCCACATCTCTAGCCCCAGCTGGTCCTTGCATGTCTCTTCTTTTTCTTTGTTTATCTTGCAAGAGAAAGCCGGGTCACAGCTGTAGAGGAAGCGTGGAGAAATGCTGCCTCCTTCTTTGGGAAGTGGTAACCTTTTGCTGATTTTGAAAAACACCCTGTTAGTGTGACTTGGAGGCAGGAGGTGTCATTGTCGATCCCTCCCAAGCGGCCTGTACCGTCCCTCTACTTCCCCTTCTCCTGAGCTAGCTCAAACTGTCAGGAAGTATTTGCTACCACCTTCTAGAGAATTAGTCTAATTCCATGTCCCTGCAAAATCCAAGGACAGCTCTGTGTCTGTTTCTGGAGTATTTTATTTTATTTTTTTAGCTTAAACGTCTTCCACTGCTCTTACGCAATGCTTTTCCTCTCAACTTCTGCCTCTGCTGGTTGCATCTCAGTGTTTATGTCATTCCTGAAGGTTACCAGAAATTACAAAAGTATTCTAGCATGGAGAAGAAAGGGACTTTTGCCTGTCTGAGTGTTGTGTCTCTGCTCATGGGGTCAGAGATTGCATGAGACTTTTGACGTTCGTGTCCTGTTGACTCATAGTCCATGTTCGCCAGCTTGGCCTGCAGATCTTAGGATATGCAGAATTCCAAGTAGCTTTTTCTCTTTCCCCTAACTGTACCTTTCCCCCTAAATGTAACTTTTTTAGCTAAAGGGAAACTATCCGTCACTTCTAATCTACATCATTAAATCCCCTCTGCCGTCTTATCCCACTCCATCCACTTCGGATTCTGGTTCTGCTGTGGTTATGTGGCGGATATATGCCTGTTCCTTCCTCTCGCCTGTGGGTTCAGTGACTCTCTTTTGCTATTCCAGACGTTGACTACTATGAGAACAAGACTTGAGACTGTCATTGGTCCCTCAGAGACTGCCAGCAACCTTGGATGGTAGTCCTCAGGGTCTTGCTACTTGCCTGTGTGGCCGTTGCTGGGAGCACTGGGTCCTGCTTTGAGATCCATTTGGAGAACTCGCCTTGTGCTTTCCTCAGCTTACCTCTGCTAATGCTGTTGGCCTGTCTATAGGAACTCTGCAGATACAGATGTCCACTCAAACACTCTTGTCCTGTCTCAAGGTTTCCTGGGCTACCACATTGGTGTGTCTAGAAATTGTGTATCGATCCATGGGGTTGGCTACTTCAGTTATTCTGCCATATGCTAACCATGCTGTTCTAGCTGCTGAGACTGGGGGTCTGCCTAGAGGGGGTGACATCCTAGGAACAAAGCCCAGCACCCGCAGCTTCCATCTTCAAGTTTCCAGAAAGAACCCTCTTGTACTGTTTAAGTAATGTTCCTACTGCAAAAGCTGAGGTGTGGATACCTCCTCTACTTGCCATTGAGTCATCCTGATAAGGTGTCCAAGGATGAAAGCTTGCAGAGGTGCCATACCCAGAAAGCTTTTGGCTTTCTTTATTCTTTTTCCGCTAGGCCAAGAGTATTACCAATATGTTGAGTGGTAGCTAACTTAGTTTTGGGAGTTTGTGTGGGAGAGCATTCTGTCTTTCCTGTCTTGATCGCAGCTCAAAGGCGACATAAACATTTCCAGAAACCTCAGGAAAAAGGTGACAAATAGACATGTAAAGTTTCAACGTGAGTGCTTGGAGTTTTATGTGATGGAGGAGATTATTTCCAACACTACCCAAATGGCACCTTTTAATTCTGACTCACATCAAATTGCACTTTCATTAGTACTATCGCCCGAAAGGCTGTTGAGAAGGAAAAGACGCAGGTAAGGAAAGCACTGTTTCATGGGGCTGTGGTGAACATCTGGACAATCGTTGGTAAGTAACTGAAGGTTGGAAAACGCTCGTGCAGGAGAGACTTGCGGCCGTGTGAAGAAGAGCTGGCGACACATTTAGGTTCTCGGCTCTCACTAATGGTGACCTTTGGGTAATGCCCAGTTCTTCCTGGCCTTCAGCTTATTAGAAATTTGAACACGAGCTACCCTGGGTATCGTGGAGCGTTCTGTGAGGTGCTTCCTGTGGGTTTCCAGGAGTGAATGTGGGCACGTGGGTGGCACACCGTAAGTCAGGAATGCTTTATTTATTTCACTTGGGTTCCAGGATGTTTGGCCTTTGCCATTTTGTTCACCTTGTCCGGGCCTTAAGTTTTCGTTGCCTAACATTTGAGGTTTGGTTAAACAACTTGAAGATGCTCCATCTTAGAGTCTCCCTGGGTCCTTGGATGGGGACACCTGTGATACGGAAGTGTTGTGTGTTACCCACAAGGCTGTAGCCAGTTCAGGGCAGGAAGAGGCCATGATGGTGGTTCTTCTGAGCAGTGGCTTGCTTGTGAGCCAGGCATGGTAACTCTGAGTGCATCTTTAGAGAACGAAGTGAGAGTAAGTCTGCTACCTGCCCTTTCTTGTATAATATTGTTAACTGAAAGTGCCAGGGACAGCCTGAGAGGCAGCACAGATAACTGTGGAACTGCTTCCCTCGTGTAAACCAAAAGCTTCCCTCAAAAGCTCAAAATTAGCACTAAGACAGTCTTGAGTTTCTTTCACAGAATTTACCTCCCACTGTTTCAGTAGACCTGCTAATCTGAGTCCAGAGGCATGACATGTTCTGGAAAGGTAGATTTCCACTTCCATGGCCCTCTTTGAGGCCCCCCAAGGGGGCTCTTAGCTCTCAGATATGCTTTTGTGAAATCTGCGAAGGTTATATGTTTTTTTTTTCCTTTATTTTTCAAAAGCCAGCGTGCACTGTGGGAATTCCAGGCAGTTGGGATGGGGGGATGCCGCTGCCCCTTAGGGCTGTT